AACGGAACTACATGAGAGGCCTTGGGTAAAGTATTGGAACCTCAATCCCAAGTCCCTCGTGCCTCTGACCTCGCAACGCCCAGGCGATGCTGGAGATGGCGTGGTTCTGCGGCCGGGAAGCATCACCTGGAAGGGCACAGACCTTGTTCCAGAGACCATGCGCCTGGGTTCAAGGTTCAGGGGTGAGTTGGCAAAATCAGGCTCCCTTTGGGCCTAAAAAGTGTAGCCTGCCGTAGGTCGAAGCCATAAATCTTAATCTCCGCGCCCTCAAATCCCCAGAGGTCTAAGCACCGAGGTATGATGGGGCGCCTGCTTCTTCCCTTGACCCAGCACCTGGCCATTTTCTTGCTTACATTGTTTTGGAGTCGAACCTTTCGGACTGAGGGCTGAGGATGTAGGGCTTGAGGTTTAGGAGATCACTGCTTGAAGCGAACGCTTTAAAGAGTTAAGTTGAGTTCTTGGGATTCAAAATGTGCTGTGCAACGTTCAGGATGCACTTTCTTCGGCTGATTTAGGACTACTTTTTGTGTGTTGCATTTTTTCCGCATGACAAGGAGGACCCTCCAAAACTGCTCTGGCTTGTGTGTTAGGATAGGGAACAACCTGTTTTCGTATTTTCGCCAAACAAACATGGAGCCTCAAAGGGGATGCTATGAGGACTATCCTTTGACAAGGGCCCCAGGTGGGGTTTATTAACCCTAATATAATAATCCCTATATAACCCTATTATAGTAGTTTCCATTTTATTTTCCATTATTCCAATATAACCCCATAATATTAATATATTAAGTTTTGTATAATTGTTTGGGTAGGGCACCTAAACCTAACCTCCCAAGCCCAAACCGTCATCCCGTGAAAGTTGACTGAGGAGAAGGGCTTGCCGGATGTCAGTTCAGTTCCTCGACAAGTACTTTTGGGGCGCTGCTCCAAACAGCTCAAAAAATGATCTTGACCCCGTGAGGTTAAGGTTCAAAGAACTCAGGACTCTTGACCGTATAGTTCTAGACCGGGCTTACTGGTTTCATTTTAGAGTGTCAGGGCCGCAATTCTGCACGGGAAAGACGATAGGACAGCAGACAAGCTGCTGCCCTAATTCAGCTTAAACCAACTTTTTACACGAGTCCCCAAGTAGATTTGCTTCCTGTATCATTTCTCATTGGATTCCTTATGTTCAGCTTTCTGGGAGCAAATTTCACATGGAGTCTGGGGCTCATGTGCAATTTTCGGAACCAACCGGAACGCAGTGGCAGTGTTATAGATCCGCGCAGCTTGAGCCCAAGCAAGTGGGATGTGACTCGCACGAGTTGCAGAACATTCAGGTGTTGTAGATAAACGCGAAGGGATTCCCCAACCACAACTCCATGAACAAACTGCTGGGCCCTTTTTTGTGGGAATGTCAGCCTCGTATTGATGACGGGGTTCATGGCATTTGGTGCAAGCATGACGGAAACTAATCTAGTATATGGGGCTTATATTGGGATAATGGAAAAATGGAAACTACTATAGTATATTAGGATTATATAGGGATTAAATTGGTTATTTCGGTCACGGCATATGGGGTGTGTCATGGGTGTATTTAACGTCGAACGCAGGGTAGTGCCAACATGTGGGCTTGCCATCCAGTGGCGCAACAATTACAACAGAGTCTTCCGGGTGAAGCATGTACCATGTGATCCTCTGGCAGCGATACGGCACAACCGACAACGTCCTTTGCACACTTCCCTAAGCCCTGGCCCTAAATCCAAGATCCGAAGCCCCAACCCTAATAGCCCCACCCAGTTCGTTTTGATCCGCGGAGCTCGAACCAGCCTCAAAGGGTGTATACATCCAAGGGGATGGATTGGGGTTCATGATTAAGGGCTTTAGGATTTGAACATAGATGTAGTTGAGCTGCAACTAGAATTTTTCGGGCATAGAAAGCCTAGCCCATGACTTCCAAGCTCCTAAGCACTATCTCACCCTCAGCCATCATTCTACTGAGTTTTTGGGGAGGGGTGGAATTCTTATAGGCAGGCTTAAGCAAAACCTCTGTTTTGCAAAGCCTGTGAGAATCTTTCCAGGAACTGGACGGTTCCTATAACTCAAGAGCCCGAGAATCGAATAACACGTCCCCCTAAAACCTCGACCACAATATACTACGATCCATATGACCAAAATCCCAAATATTAACTTGGTGGGTACCTGAAACCATCAGGCTAAGGGCAGTAGTCACATGGCCAAGTACTAGAGCATCCCGAGACGAGTTCTTCATTGGGGTTGCAGTCCGAGTGTACAACATAGCATCCATTCAGAGGAAGGCAGCTTCTAGCAACTCATCTCATCGCCGCAAAGGTCCTACAGCAATTTGATTTTTTCGACTCCGCTTAACCCTAAAAAACCTTAAGCACTCAAACTTCCACACTGGCGGCCTCTGCCTGCGGATATCTGCCTTACTTGCCCCCTGCCAGGGCTGTAAAGCAAGCTGCTGGTTCCCAAGCCCTAAGCCCATAATATATTATGGTATGTCATGGTATATTACAGCATATTATGGTATATTATAGTGCTCAAAAACTAACCCTCACGCAGTGCTAAAAAGCATTATCGGTTAGACAAAAGCACATCTGAATCTCCAACAGGTCAAACAATGGCCCAAAACCCATAGAGCATAGTCAACAAAGGCCATTATTCTACATACATTTCAGTCACTTAGGGTCCAAGTATGACCCCAACATTTCACCGCAAGCTCGGGAAATTCCCTGTCCTGGACGGACGGTGGCTCAAAAAACAGGTCAGGAGATGCTTTGGGTGCGTTACAGAGGGCTAATCAAGAAGCTGTCCAGGGTTTCGGGCTATGGTTTGGAAAGTCTGAGAGCCGAAAGGCATGGACGCTGCAAGATAATCATGGGTATTTTAGGCTAAAGCTCCGCACTTCGAATTCCGTATCCTCACCCTGAAACTGACACCTTCAGCCTGCAAAGTCTGAATGTAAAGCCCTGACTCGTACATGAAAACCAGCAGCTGTCATATTAGGGGCCTTTCAAAATGCGGCCCAGCTGTCAAAGACAGCTCGTTGCAGTTGCACCTCGGAGAGCCTCAGTGTGAAGCACAAATTTCATAGGGTCGTTGATCAGGAGCTACAAGTTACAAGAGACCATTTGGGAACCCAAACTTAGAGCATGAAACCTCAATGCAGAACAACCCTATGACTCTTTGGAGGCATTCTCCTAATCTATTGTAGATAAACTGCGCCGATGTATAGTTTCTGGACACTGACAGCAGACCTCACGTCCAGAGCGGCGTACGCTTAGGAGCTTCCAACCTGAAGGCTAAGCTGCAGGTCCAAAATTGGCTGACATTCAGTTGCAATGGGTATATAAATATAAATATATATATATATATAGGAATTAGTCTGGTTCCCTAATTATAGTAGCTTAAATTAATTTCCTCTATTGGAGAAACCCGAATATTTACTAGGTCCAAGATTAGCTTGCTGCTTTTCCTTTGCAGCCTTGCGGTTTTGCAGCCTTTGGTTTGGATAACAAGATCATGGAATGTAGCACTTAATTGAGCGTACTTGGAACGCCCCAGCGCAAGGGTAAATAACTTTGAAGGCTGCAGACTTCGTGTTTGATTGGTAGTTTTGGGCGAGGTTTCTTTTTCTTGTGCTGGTATGATACTGGTGACTGTTTTAGATTTAACGCCAGGAGGGTATTGAATGCGCATGGGACCGGGCCATGGCCATGAAAGACTCTAGGGGTGTGTTCAGCAACTCCGAACCCCAAACCCTGTAGAACAGTTGCCAGGGACTCCCGGAATGTCTCACTCCACATCATTGCACCTCTTTGTAGGGGGGATCTTGCCATCTACCGGGGAAAGAATCAGGAACCCCTGGGGATAATGCAAAAGACAATGGGAGCTACTCTAGTAGATTGGAGACAGAGCCCCAACCCCACACGGTTCGAGATTTGAAGGATTTGGTCTTGAAGTGAAACCATTCTATGAGGTTGGTGTTTATTGTAACCATGTGCTAAGCAGATGTGTATTTGTAGGGTTGCTTCGGACTGTTGAATAATTGGTTAGTGTATTTGTTTGGTGTCCAATTAGGGGAAGTGAGATAAGAAGCCCCACCAGACATCACAAGGTTAAAGGCCAGGGTATTCCATGGTGTACTTCTCAAAGAAAGGGTCTTTGGCATCATGCAGGTCCTGTTGAAAATAGGTTTGGTCATATATAGGCATCAATATGACCCCTATTATAGACTGTAACTGGGTGAGGGCAGTACCCAATATGTGGGTCTCGGTTTGAGTCTCCGTGGGTGTATATCTTTGGTGTCCAATGTGGGGGAGCATAGGTCAAAACCATGGGCCATGCAGAAGGTGAAGGGTTGTAGGGACGCAAAACCCTAGGGATCCAAATAGCCCAATGTAGGTAATATTTACAGACTTTGGGGCCCAATGTAGGTATTACAGGGAAAGGACGTACCTGGAGTTTAGGGTTTTTTAAGGCTCAGGGTGCGTAATTTATGGTTCCGCTTGGTTCCTTTATAGGTTGTTTGCCAAAATCTTACCTACGTACTTTGGGGGTCCAGCTAAGCCCAAGCGCTATGCTCTAATGTCGCATCCTCAAATACCACACTGAAGACCCAAATCCATACACAGAGCAGGTACCCAACTACAACAGCTTCCACACAGCACCCATGCTTCAGCAACAGAGACCCTGACCCAGGCCGTTTAGAGATCCAAAATCTGGACTTTCCCCAAAGGCCCAAGAATGACCCTCTATCTCTACATTGGGGAGCCAAGGGGATTTGTTGGATCCTTTAGGGGATTAGGGTAAGGCCCCCCTCAGAGTAACTGCCCTGAAAGGGATTCATTCATAAATGAGGAGATCTTTCAACATCTGTTGCCTCTCTTGTGGTAACTCTTCCGGGGGCCTTGACCTAGCCTCAAGCCTCAACCCTCTACCCTAAACCCTGCAAGTGTCAAGGGGGATGACCCAAGGTAGGGCAATGCTTTGACCAGGTGACAACTGCGCCGTTGGTGATACTTCTTGCACTGCCGGAGCGGCGCCAGGCTTGGTGTTGGTCTTGTTCAGGAGCTTGGTTTTAATTTGAAGTTCCATTCGATTTTCCGTTGTACGTGATGGCGGTAAAAACTCTAAACCACACATATTTGTAAAACCCCTATGCAATCCCTGTATAACAGAGTCCGGGGTTTGGAGTGCTTTAATGCCACATAAAAGCATATGCTAACCGAGAGCACCAGCCCATAGAAGGCTGGCACAACTCGGGAAGTGTCGCTGTAGTAAGATTATGATGAAGAATCGCGTGGGAAAGCAAATATCGAATGAGAGGGACCGAGCGTACATCGCCATTTATGTGAGGGGGTCCTGTTTGCCCCCACCCCTGACATTAGAACTGCATGGTAGCCGCAGCGTGGTATTTAGCCGGGCGTATCAGGGCGGCACTATTTGCAGACAGGGGGGCTCATTGATAAGCGTGTTGTGTCATTTGTTCCTATGAGTATGCAGTGGTAGTCTACCCCCTGCGTCTTAGACCAGGAACGTAAGTTGTTTGAACAGACCATACCGAGACCCTCCTAAGTACCTCTGGCGAATACCTTTGACCGTAAACTAATGGGTGCTACTTACAGATACATGTCAAAACTTGCAATGCGAGATTCCTCTCGCCTGCAGCTAGACTACAGGGGCCGCGTCGGCTGAAGACTGGGACCCTTCACTTTTACGCCTGGATGGTTCCCACCTCCTGTGTTCAGGTGCTGTAAACCCACGGCCCTACACTCCTGCAAATCGGCAAGAGAAGGCGACATTTCCCCAAAAGTTCTGCAACGCTACAGCATACTTGGAGGGTCATCGTGGGCTTACTAAGTGGGTGATGAAAAGGGATATCTCGGCTTATCATATGGCTTATAAGGGTTCCAAATATAATTGCGCGCTTGGACCCCCTGACCCTGAACCCCGTAACCCTACTGCAGGCAATGGCGGCCCAAGAAGATTTCTCCTTTACGACACCAAGTACGGCGAGGGGTTTAATCTCCAGCGAGAGGTGCGCTGCAGGGGGCCTTAGGGCTTCGGGTTTAGAACTTAAGGTGAGAGTTTGCCGTGAAACGGCCCGGTGGCAATGATGGTTATTCTTCAGAGATCATGCCATAATATACCATAAGATATTATAGTGCACCATCATATATATATCTATATACATATACTAAGGTATATTATAATATTCTTTCATATACTGCAACATATTTTAATACACCATAGTACACCATAATATATTTCAATATACCCTAGCATACTATATACTCTACCTGACATATTATAATATGTCAGAACATACTATGATATACTATGATATATGCCATGGGCACGCATCGTTCTATGCGAGATGGAGCTATGTCCTGACTGCGGAAGGCCATCTCCTTCATGACCCACCCCACGCCATCTGAGCCATGGTCTCAACTCCTTAAAGGGGGTTATATCGGGGGTTATATAGGAGACTACTATAGGGTTCATTAAGGGGGATACTAGGAGTTTAGACCACAGCTCATCTGAGCCATGGTCTCAACTCCTAGTAGCCCCCTTGAGAACCCCTATAAGACTCCCCTACATTCTCTCCCTATATAAGCCCCTTTAAGGAGCTTAGACTATAATTCATCTGCTGCGGCCAAGCCAGAGGTCCTAGAAGCCCTGAAGGTCCCCAAATCATATCATCTAAACTCTTAGTATCCCCCTGAATAACCAGGGTTTAGGGTTTAGGTATCCCCCTGAAGAACCCCCATAACACTCCCCCATAAAATCCCCAAGCTAGCTTCGGAGCGATACTTAGCTGGGAGAACGTAAGTGTCGCCGCCATGTGATAGGGTTTATTGGTGAATGATGTAGGGGTTTAGGGTTGAGGGCTTATTGGGTTAAGGATTTAGAGTGCCTGGGAGCGTCTCAAAATCAATGTTTCCCACATAACCCCTAGGAAAGACCCACCGATTCCTTTCTAATCTTCCCTAATGGTCCTCAGTTTGCAGAAATCCCCAGATCTTGCAGCCACCCAATACTAGTGGCATACATTCATAGGGAGCCTAATGCAAAACACCCTATCCCTTGCGATCGCTATGAACGGTTGGAGGCTTAACCTAGCTTGCATCCTCGAACCAGCTTATTCAATAAACCTATTGTCCATTTCATTTTCATTTTGTCTGTCCATATGATTTTCCATTAGGGTGGTAATGTCTCTACACCCTAAATAAGGCTTCCATAACGCTTATGATCCCTATAAGCCCCTATATAACGCTGTATAGCAGCAAATGGGGATTCTACGGAGACTGCGTGAGTCTTCGGTACGGATCATACAGGGATTATTTCTTTTTACGTACTTGGTTTACTTTAAAGGACAGAATGCCTTGAACGCTGCAGGAAGTAATGGAAGAAGGGAGCAACGTGTGTTGCTGCAAATTTTACTAAAACAAAGGATTCAGCAAGTTTAGTTGCTATAAACATGCTATCTCAGACCACCCTCGTAGAATCCCCAGTGCTAATATTACCCACACACCCCCCCCCTATTTGCCCGCAGCATCTTCATGTTACGTGCGCATCCACGGTCATAGCATCCGTATAAATACTTCCA